AGTTCTCACACTGCAGGCTTGAAGACGCTAAATACCTTAACTGCAGTGGGTGAGGCTCTAAAATGAGTTTTTTCACCGCGGTGCACATGTTATTTAGTAAAGCAGAAAAAGGAAAACATACTAAAATATACTGCATGTTTCATTACGGTTTCTGTTTACTGTTCACCCTTTGATTGCTGTTACATACACAGTCCGGTCGCCATCGTCATTTCATGTATTTTTCAGACTATGGTACAAGGATGTCTGTGTGACAGAGTATGAAACAGGGCTAAAGCACATTAAATCACAGCATGCCTACCCTACAAACTTCCATAAACATGATTCATAGGGTATCTCTGTAATCCTGTTCTGACCTGTTACTGAAGGTGCGACTGACCCTGCTGGAAATACTACCTGCAGCAGTGACAACACAGACAGAATGTCACGACAAATTACTGGGTGTGTTGCCTGCTACAAACTGGGACTTGCCTCTCTGTGTGTGCAGAGCCTCACATTAATATTATTAGGAGTAGCCTCTTCTACCTCATCTCTTTTGATTGCATTGATTGCGAGCTTCCGGCCTGACTGATATACTGGAACCAACTCAATCTGACAGTGGAGCGTGTACCCAGCAATCTTGTTGCTGCTGTAGAGGCTTTGACAAATAGTCTGAGAACCAGGTGTTGTGAAAGTGTCTTGTGGAAGCGGATGTGAGTAAAATCATGATAGCTAGAACAGAACGAGATGCCTTCTGTGGACGTGGTAAGGGTTTCTAAATTCAGGCTATTGTGAAGGTCTTTTTGCTGAAGTCCATTTTGCTCATACAGAATAAATTATATCTATATTGGTCATGTTTTTGCTAGCCAGTTGCTGTAGGTAAGTTAAAATTAGTAATGATGGACGATATAAACACTATCTAATATATAAGAAGACTTCCAAATCAAAGAGGCTAAACATATCCTGTAGCCCTTGTGGCTCCATGGCTTTACTTAATTAAGCCCTGACTTTAACATGCTAACATCTTTACAATGATAGCAGTTTATTATGCAGATATTTATTGAACATTTTTACTCCTTGCTAACATGTTAGCTTGCTAATGTTTCTGAGTTGCAAATTCAAGGAAAGCTAGCATGCTAACATGCTAAACACAATGTTAAAAGGTTAACACACTCGCTAAATATCTGTATAATATAATTGTCAGGATGTCAGCATCAGTGAGCGCCTACTTTTCCAAGGGCTCTAGTTCCAGAAGGGAATTCCTCCAGAAAACCTTCATATAAAATGTTTGAAGCCTTGACCCAAGCTGAGCAGCTACCAGGTGAACTGTAACATGAAAATCTGTTTATATAAATACTTTGAATGGTGAAGGAACTACTACATTCCTCAGCGAATATCTTCCAAACTTCCTGAATTTAATCGTTGACATTACTGTAGTCTTTTTGAATAAATTTTGTAATTTGTGTTGTGTGTGTTTGGGGTTAGGGTTTCTTATGTTTCATGCTCATTAAGTGTTCGTGGGTTTGAACATTTCCATTACAACACCAACTTTAACTAATCAGAGGCATTGCTGTTTAAATTTTGGACATTTTGGACAGCTCTGTATGTTCTGGAACACAGAGTATCTAACTAAATATGTATACAGGCGTTTAAACCTGCCGAACCAATGACTTCTTTCCATTAGTTTTGCAGGTAATTGGATTTTAAACCACATTATCAAATAGTGTAAATGACAGACCTGACGATGGCAATTGATGGAATGTTAAGGGATCGCCAAAACATCTTTAGTTCATCAAAGACGTCTGATCAATTATTATTTCCGCTCTTAATTCAATGCATTAAATGCAATTGAGAGATAGTGAAATACTATTCAAAATATGTTGATCATAATGCTGTTTGCCATATACCGCAACAACAAACTCTAGCGACTGTGAAGACCAACTACATGTTGGTTTTAAATTTGTTTTGACCTGATATTTTCATATATCTAAACTTTGCTGAACTGTTCATTTGGACATAAAACTTGAATGTGTCCGGAAATGTGTGACATGTTCCCAGCAGCAGTGTCCTTGATTTTAAAAGAGGGGCCATTATGCTAATTTCCAGCTCCATGTCATGAATTATTCTTGGGGTTTACTAGAGTAGCTTTGCGCAGTCAAAGCTCAAAATTATACCATACTGAGCATTGATGCAGCATCTCATTTCACCCTCTGTCTGAAACAAGCTCTAGTGCCAGTTTTCTTCTGATTGGCTGCCCCTCGCAAGCAGAAGGTCTGAAAAGGCGGAGCTTCGTGCTCTCAGCAAGAGCTATGAGCCTGAGATGATAATTTTAGGAATATTCTGTCTCACTGACATCCTAGAGAGCCGAGCGTAGAAAAAACAGATTATGAAGACCAAATGTTTGGATCTTAGATGTTACCTGTACATACACAAGCCTCATTATTTCAAACTACATGTTTAATATGGACATCCATCACACAGGAAATCAACAAAAGCACTCCATTTAATATTCCTTAAAAAAGGACTTTACGGAAGTGCAAATGCATCAACTGTTACTAGACTATGCTGCCTCTCGTGGTCGTGTTTCTTATTACCATTTAGCAAACAAGTCCATGACAAATTATTTTTTTTAAATGTAATACACTGTATAAACTGCATGTTTGAGCTATCCTTACATTTATTTATGTAGAAATACATCCCAGCTCTGGAAACACTGTGTCTTTGACTTTGATTTGAAGAAATAATGCATTATTTTTCAAGTTGTCACCTTGATCTCTTCCTGTCAGTCATGCTAACACAGCACGCTTCAGTCTTCAAAGCATTGTCCTCAGTGCATACACTGCATCCACAAGCTTTAGTTCTTTTTATGTCTCTGCGTCTCCTTGTCCATCTCTCTCTCTCTCCTTCCCTGTTCAGTTACATGACACATTTGTCCGCCTTCTGTGAAATTTCGGCATCTTTGCAGGCACACGCTGGCTGAACCAAATGTGAATCTGAGCAAAGTGTTACGACATTAAATTGAGAACTCTTACATTGCCAAAACACAGCACTTTACACTTATGGGGGCTCTTTACAACGGCACAAAGTAATGTAAAGTTCAGGATACGGTAAAAATACTTTTGATGGGACTTTACAAACTCAGCAATACACAATGTAACAGCAGGTTTTTCCTTTAAAATTGTTTTTGATTTCAACACTCATCCACATGTGTGAAGTTTCCCAAGAGGTTGAGAGAAAGCCTTTTTCCTATGCACAAAGTCAAACTGTTATAAGGGAACAAGGTTAGAGACAGACACAGTTTCCCATTCTTTCACTAAATCAATAATCCAGGATGTAATATTCAGAGGTTTGCAGATCTGTAGCTTCTTCCATCTTGATACCAGCTAGAATGGAGAGAAAATAATATCCTTTGTTGTCGGCTTTGCCGTTTCGTTGCCCCGCTGATCATGTAAGACCAGACTAATCACCTGATGTGAATAAAATATGAGCATGAACCTTCAGGCTGTAGACTCAGATTCTTATCTTCGAGGCTCTGGGAAATTACAGAGTTGGCTGTTTTCACTCAAATGTTTTGCCTACTTCTCTCCATGGTACTTCCACATCCAGAGAAATCGTTGCCTAAAGGTTTTTAGCTAGCACACACAGATACACGTTTTAAAAAAGAGAAAAAAATCAGTCAACTAGAGCAAGGATGGTACTCGGTCCCCTCAGACTTCTCTCTGCCATTGGAGTACTATCCAAAATATTTCTTTGTCCTTTCCACCACGCTCCACTTTCACATCCTGCCTCCTCAAGATCATTTCGGGCAACTCCATAAAAGCTTGAAGCTGGCAAGCACAAATAGCGTTCTTATAAATGTTTCATGTCACTTATCTCTGAAAAGTACTTGAGTAAAATACATATTCTTGCTCCGCCTTAGGGTTAATAAGCTCAAGTTGCTTCATTAACCCAATTAACAAGAGTTTTGAGCTCGAGTCAGTGCACTTCCCCTGACCTTTAAAAAGATTAAGAAATTGTTTATTTTTCAATTCGACTTTGCTCATGCATCAGTGTCCACGAGCAGTGCTTACATCATCTGTTTTCTCATTTGTGTTTTAACTTGGGGTTACCACAGTACACTGGCAGCCTGTCAGTCTGTTACTGGCACTCCTTTAAATGCTGGTCTGCAGTTCGCCATTGAGCAGGGTAGGATTGTGAGTGTACAGGTTGGCATTAATAATCGAAGCTTCGTTAATCATCTTGCTCCTGTCTGCCCTGCTGTCGCTGCGCTCTACCTCATCCAGGCCTGCCACCTTTTTCAAGCACAGAACATTCTGAAAACTCTTCTTGAAGTTGTCTGACAGGAAGGCGTACAAGATGGGGTTGGCGCAGCTGTTAGCGTAGCCGAGCACCACCACGAAGTCGAACGTGCTCTTCACAGCAGAGGTGGGCTTGATTGAGCCGGTGACAGAGGTGACATTGAAAATGTAGAAAGGCAGCCAGCAGAGGACGAACACCGCCACCACGATGGACACCATCCGGGTCACCTTGCGCTCTGAACGCTTACGCTTTGTGGAGCCCACACGCAATCCGGATGACTTCACCTGGCAAAAGGAATGGCTATCAGTGGCTTAAAAGTGCCCAAATAAAAAAGTACAGTGTTTCCATAGAAACATCCTAATATTATCGGGGGTTTTCCTAGCTGGGCTAGGTAGCCTTTCAGGACTAGCTAGCCAAAATCAAAGTCCTATTATCCAGCTGTAAAAACAACAGTGATCTATGGGTTGATAAAATTGTGTCTACGGACACGTTTTATTGCAAGCCAACATTAAAATAATGACAGAAAAGTGTTTAAACTGACATTATTAACATATTTACATGTTACATGTTAGCCGCCTAGCTTAATTGATTCTGACGATTGAGGACCCTGGAATGTACTAATAAAAGTGCACACTCATTATGCACAATGGCTGCCATCTTGGCAACGAAACAGAAAGGAAGACACTACTAATCAATTTTCAGCCACTAGCAAAAGGCTGCACTGTAACTGAAAATAGCGAGTTCAGTGCTAAATATCTAGCTAACTACCAGGGAACATTTTCAGGTTTCAACATTTATGCGTTGTGGCATTATTTGATGTTTATGCATGATAAAGTGATTTAGTAATATGTATCTTCAAAAGACTGTAAATATTCCCAAAATGCTGTAGCTGGGAAAAGAGCCAGACTTTCCAAATGCAAATCATGTGGAAATTACTTACTCCACAAAGAAGTATTTAGTATGCATAGTGTCATAAGTGCAAGCATAGGATCAAAGGATCTGGATTAATGTTCTTTTCCTTTATGTATGTACTTCATATTAGTTGAAGCAAAAAAATCTATTTAGTTAAGAAAGAAAAGGAGACTGTTATTAGCTTTTTTTATGAGACACTGGCAGTGTTGTTGATTTCTGAGCTGACATTTCAAACTAATTGAAGTGGACCACCAAAACGTTGAATCTGCAATGTAACCAAATCTTGTTGGATTTTTGTTGTGTAATTTAGCGCGTGCAGTTGCGGGCTCTTACCTTGACTATAATGAGCAGGTAGCACATACATATAACTGCCAGCGGCAGGAAGAACCCAATGAAGAAGGTGTAGAATATGAAGGCCGTGTAGTAGACATCCTGAGGCTCCGGCCACACAATGCCACACACTGGAACCTTGTTCAGTCCACTGAAGATCAGAGTTGGCAGGATGACTAACAACGACACACCCCATACTGTGAGGTTAATTAGCTTTGCTACACGGGGTTTCCGCCATTTTGTAGACTTAATAGGGTGAACCACAGCCAGGTATCGATCGATGCTCATTACCATGAGACAGAAGATGCTGGTGAACTGATTGAGAGAGTCTGGGATGGTGTAAAGAATAAGAAAGAGCAGAGGAGTGGAGAAAGGTAGAAGTTGAGTTTAGACTCAGTAACACTTGATTAAAAAATACATGTATGCTCCTGTGAGAACTGAGGAAAAAAACGAACACAACCAGTTTTTGCTTATAGTACAGACTAGAAACAAGAAATCATGTAAACACGTCACATTGTATCTATTTCATTACCTTTCTTTAGCAAATGGAACGCTTTAACACCAGGTCTGATGTGACTGAGCACCAACTACGTGTTGGCACGACTTCAGTTTTTTAAAACAGTTTTTAATCAAATTTTTCAACCGAGATTTGGCATCTCAAATGGTTGTTCAAACAGCATCAAAATGTTTGCCGAGTTTCCGCTGTGAACCATTAACCATGTGCTTTTCACCCACCTACGCTCATGATCATTCGGCACAGAGCCTCTCCGAAGGGCCAGTGCACCAGCGCCAGCTGCAGGGCGATGAATGGCAGGCTCATCATGCACAGAACATCTGCCACTGCCAAGTTGAGGATGTAAATGTTGGTCACCGTCTTCATTTTGGCGTAACGTAGAATAACATAGATGACCAGGGTGTTACCACACAATCCCACAGCGCATACCATGAAGTAGATGAAGGTAATGACCACTGAGCTGGTCTTGTCCTGGTGATGCTCCTTGTCTTTGGAAATGTTGAAGCCCAGGTCGGAGTCATTCCCTTGGATGTCGTACCAGAAGGGCTCAGGGATGGAATTGTTAGGGGAAGTTGGGAGGAAGGGCAACTGATCCAAGGCCATGACTGCTGAGAGCAAAGGGGTCTAATTTCCTAAAGGGTTATGGGTTTGTCTAATCCAGGGTACAGTGATAATGGGAAATATTAATGAGTCAAGGGTTCAAATGTTTCAAAGAACTGCTTTTACTAAAAAAAGTTACAGAAATACATTTAAAAGAGGCTTTGAGTGATGGATTCAAGGATAAAGGTAAGAGCCTGGGGTCCTGGGAATATAAGACTTTGACTTCCAAGGGTGTGGGGCTCTAGGGATAAGGATGACTCAGAAATTTTCACATAGGAGGAGCATCAATTATCACATCTCAGCTGCAGAGAGACAGTAAAAGAGAAGGATAGGTGGGGAGAGAGACAGCAGAATAGAAAGCAATAAGTTGGGTTGAAGAACAGGGACCATTTCGTTTGACAAATAATAATAACAGTCCTCCAAGATCCATGGCAACAGTTGCAAGGTTACTTTACATAACTGCTTTCACACCTCACCAGAGTATCATGTACAATATTCTCTCTAGAGAATGCTCTAGTACCTCTATATGTTGTGTGTGATTATCCTCAATGCTGCTTATTTCGCTCACAGCAACATTTTTGGCACGCAGCAGCGGAGAGGAGATAGCAAGCACTAAATTGTACATGATGTGCAGTTTTATAAATATAACCTTTTTGCCACTTTCTCCTTAATTTGAGACAAAAAAAAAAAAAAAACAGTAAGGAAACCAAATATGGGACCTCAAGCATCAAGCTGTTTACTTATTGAATAGCCAACATTTGCATTTGCACATTTTTGCTCATATGTCAGGCAAAGGTAGCACAGCCAACAGGAAGAGATCAAGGTGGCTGTGTGTTTGAAGGTGAGCGATACAGAGAGACAGTCTGGTTATCACTATAGGTTATTACGCCTGTTTCCACTGTTGTACGTTTAAATGCAGATGCTGAATTTGATGCCTTTTTTTCTTCCTTTCTCACTCAGACCATAAATCCTGTGATGCTACAGGTCAGGTATGTGTTTACGCCTCCCCCACCTATGCATATATGCAAGAAAGAAAGAAAAAAAAAGGACGCCTGAGCAAGAGAACGCCAAGGGCACCGGGGAGCTGAAGACAAATGTTTATTCAATTGATCTCGGGGACAAACAGCTCTGACACTGGTGCGGGATCACTCACTCTTCCCCATCCAGTGACAGGTCTGGCTCAGCAAGGACAATAGTCCACTTCTTGCTTTCATTATTTACACGAGATGAGCCTGTGTAAAGCTGTTTAGATAATCCACTTTGAGTAAACAAGGTATATGGTCATAAAAGATCACAAGTATTCAGGAGATGGCAAGTGAAATGCTTACATCTCTGGATCATACTAGACATCATTCCACAAACTGATTTTCTTGCAATTAACTGTTTAAGCCCTTAAAACCTTGCCTCGCCTTCCTCTCATGGACAGTTTAACATGTAAAACTTACTAATTTCAGATTAGTTTCAGTGTAGACCTTCAGTGGAATCCTTTGTTAGACTAATTATTGGTGTCTACACTGTTGTTTCATGAACATGGACTGTGCTAGGAATAAAAATTTGGAATTTATTCCTGCTTAGTGGTCCTTGTTTTAGCGACACCTGTGGTTACTGGTGGTAACTGCAAGTGCGGCGGCCCAAACTGCTACCCCCCC